GACAAATAAGAGAGCACGACACTGTATGATTTCTAGAGCTGATATAGGGCAATTTGTTCAGCAGAGTGATGTTATAATTGCATCATCCATGACTTCTAGGAATAACATGATGCAATTCATATCATGTATGGTGCAATACCAGCTTCAGATTGCATCATTCATTGTTTTGCCTAAAAAGCAAGTACTGTCCAAACCCAGTCATAGATTTATTCATAGGTCCAGTCAAAGATGTATTTTAGTCATTTCTGGTTTAAATTGAGATCCCTTCCCTTTATAACTCACTTATCCTCCGCCATTCCCAAGTCAAGGGTCGTATATACTGACCCAATAGCAATCTTGAAAACTAGAGCCAATCAACAATTTTAAGCATCATTTTTGTTCTCAGTGACCCAGAATTAGTAAAGTTTGACTACATTTATTTCAGAAGCATTTTGGCTGTAGAGCAGTTTTATTATTACCATACTACTCATTTAGTATTACTCATTGTAGTCACTGACACTCAGTACTACTTTAAAGGTGAAATTGTAAAAGGAATCTGCCTATTTCAGCTATTTATTTTTTTATCACAACTGCATCTAAAATGATAGTACCGTAGAGTAACAACTATATTTTTTGCTCAAACATGAGAATTCAAAAATAGTCCAGAAGGAAGACAGGCAGTCCTTAAGAAAGAAGTATGAAATAAAAAAGTTTACCAACCTGAAGATCCTGCATGTTCAGACATGTTCCTTTCATCGTCTTCAACGGAGTTTCCTCCTGAGAAGGAACACTTCTCATGATGTTGTTTCATTCGGGAAACCAGGCCTTGCATTTCTTTTTTGCACTGTTTGCATTTTTCACGGATGCCTGTCTTACCCACAGGTAGAGGAACTTCATTAAAATATTCCCAAACTGGGTCTCTTTTACGGCCTGCTGGGTATGGTAGATCTCAAATTAATGAAGGCTACACTTAGAAAGACCTCAAGATTTCTGGAATATGCTGCTCAAACAGTTTCACTTTTGTTTTCTCCTTGTCCAGATCTATTCCGCCCCCAACAATCTTCATTGAACTTTTTGAAACTTTGCACTTTTAGAGAGGGGTAAGGGATTGACTCTGTGTACACAAATTTGCAGAGGGACAATAGGGTTGAGGTCTGTTATTTCTCACCTCTATATTTTATGTATTTATTTGTTTATTTAAAAGCATTTTTGCTGTTAACAAGCATGTTCTCTCTGGAGACACAAATCCAGAGTTTGAGAACTGCAAAACTAAGCATCTCTGATGGTATCTTCTAGACAGAGCCCTGAGACCCATTGGGTAGATAGAAAGATTAACCTAAATAATCTATACAGAAGCCCCTGGAACCCCATTAATTGGGTCCTTAATCCATGAACTATTGGAACTCATTTACAAAATTTATCTTAAATATTACATGAATATATTGTTTCATATTATAGAATTAGAATTTATAATCCATATTCCATGATGAGATATCTTTGAGCTATAATGTATCTTAATTAAAACTAACTTTAGATAGGTTTTTTCCTGAAAAAGCATTTTATCAAAAAATCGATTTAAATTAAATAAATCTGATTTTTTTTTAAATCCTTGTTTTTTATCCACCCTGGGAATAGCCAAAGCCTGCCTGAACTTAGTGCGCCCACTTAGGCTGAGTAGTGGAAGTTCTGACTCTTGATTTAAACCTGGGACAGACCATTGCTTTAGCGCCTTTGGGCAGTCTAGACCCATCACTTTGTGCGTGTTAGTGTTTGAACACTCAGGGTTGCACTTCAAATATCTGTATGAAGGAAACCTTCAAAGAACACAGCTTGGAGAAGCACAAATGTTTGGAAGTAAAGAGATTTGCAGCTAGTTATTGATGCAGCTCCATATGGCCTTTTATTTATCTACCCCTAGGAAGATAAGGCCCCTGCCCTGAGGAGTTTACTGGCAGATGCAATAGAAAATGAAAGATTAAGCTGGAGCAGGCAGTGCCCAAGAAGAGATCAGTGATGGAAGCATAAACAAAAAGGTGACCAGGAGGCAGGAGCTTGGGACTATGACAGGCGTAGGATGCGGCTTGGATAAAGGACATAGTAGCCTTGCATTCCCGCAGCCAAACAGAGATCAGAGTTGACACCCTTCCCCAACTCCCATCTATTCCCAGTAACTAGGCTGACCTTACAGTGCTCCCACTACACCATCAATCTCTGGGTGTGGAGGAAGAAGAAAGATGGAAATTTGTGATTGTTTTGTTTTGTTTCAGAGTTTAAGAGAAGCCCCATCAGGGAGCAGGCCTGATCTGAGCCTTTGGACCGTCTGAAAGGCCCCTTCCTAAAATCCTACAGCCTGGCTGTCAATGGACTTGGCACCTACAGGTGGTATGATCTGTGTGTTAGGAGCATGACTGGAAAGCTAACATAGTGAGTGTGGATAAGGCTGTCTGTAGAAGGAGACATTTAGGGCTAAATTTCAAATCTCAGTGCCTAAGTTGTGTCTGCAAAACATGCTGTGCCAGTAGCTCACTGTGCCACACAGCAGGCGTGGCATGTGTGTGAGAAGGGTGCTTGTGTGAAGAAATTCATGTTCTCAGTGTACACTTGGTGTGGGGCAACAGTGTATTGAGTGTTGCAGCAGAAGGGTTCCATTTTGCAACTGCACTGTAAACAGCAAGGTTTGAAAATGTCACCTGGAAAGTTAAAATGGGACATTTTTAACCACATTGATTCACCACTCCCCAAAGCCAAGGGTCATGATGGAATGGCAGAGCTGTCTGATGAATCTAGCTGGAGCTGCTCTGGACACCACCACAGGCTGTGGTGTCCTCCCAACTCACAGATTCTGAGTTTCGTAAGCAGGAGCTTAGGGCAGCTCGCTAACCAGGGCATAGACCTTCACTGGATTGAGCCCTTCTCACCATCTTGTGAGGCTGCTGGTCTGTGGCTTTCCTGGGGGAGCTTCCTAGTCACATACAGATACCTGTGACTCCCTCTTCCATATTCACGCAGACACGCCACGAAGGGCGTGTCCCTATTGGTGGCCATTTTAGGTCAGTTGAAGCCTTGTCTGTAATGGAGGCAGATCAAATCCTTACACATGGGGTGTCTCTCTTTGCAGAGGCAGTGTAGCGGGGTGGACACCCGCTCCTGCCTGGAAGGGCTTGAAAGCAGCCCTGGAGAGGGCTGCAGCTCTAAAAGCTGGGCTGATTGGGGAAGTGTCCGCAGCTGGGCCACACCCCAATCAGGCCACAGCTGGCCTGTATAAAAAGGCTGGGAGCCAGGAGCTCAGCAGTCTCTCTCTAGCAGTAGAGAGAGAAGGGCCTGGCTGCCTGGAAGCTGAGAGGGTACCTAAAGTAGAGCAGGGCTTGGGAAAGGCTAGAGGAGCTGGGGAGCTCCGGCCTGGAAACCCCTGAGGCTGCAGGCCTTGTTAAAGGCCAGTAAAAGGTACTATGGAGCAGGGCTGGGGAAAGGCCAAGGGAGCCATATTAAGTATGGGGTTGCAGGGGGCAGCCCATGGGTAGGCAGAGGCAGCAGGTCTGAACCCCTTTGCCTGTGATGAGTGGCTTATACTGCAGTCTGCCCCTGTGAATGGAGATGGAGACTGGCAGTAGCCAAGACTGAGGTGAAGTGGGAATAGTGGGTGGGGGTTCCCCTGGGAGGGGGAGACCCAGAGCTGTGAGGGCAGCACCGCAGACAACAGGGCACTGGGTCTGGGAGGGACATGGGGGCCAAGCACTAGTGGGACACCGGCCTGCAGAAGGCACTCCAGAGGCTGGAAGAGCTAATTCCCAAGACGACCAGCAGGAGGCGCCACAGTGGCTGGGTTTGTGCCTCCACCATTCCAGGTACCCTCTGAGGAGGGCTCCCAAGCAACAGTATCCCTTGGCTTCTCTTCATTTGTGGGCACCCAGGACAGCACCCAGGGTTACATTTTATCCATTTGCTGCTGCTTGTCCACTCCACCTAGAGAGGGAGACAGAGTGGACCCCAGTCTCCATCCCACTGGCCACTCAGGCCCAGTGCTGGTACCCATAGTGGTCCTATATCCCAAATGGTGGCTACTCAGCCCATCCCTATGTGAGACCAAAGGGAGAGCTGGAGGCCCAGCACTGCACAACCTAGGATGTACAGCAGGGGTGGGAAAACTACTGCCACATCCGGCCCATCAGACATTTTAATCCGACCATTGAGCTCCCGCTGGGAAGTGGGATCTGGGGCTTGTCCTGCTCTGTGCATGCCGTGGATCCTCGCGGCTCCCGGAAGCAGCAGCATGTCTCCGCACTGGCTCCTATGTGTCGGGGCAGCCAGGGGGCTCCGCACGCTGCCCGCGCCCCAAGCGCCACCCCTGCAGCTCCCATTGGCTGGAAACCGCAGCCAGTGGGAGCTGCAGGGGTGGTGCCTGCAGACAGGACAGCGCGCAGAGCCGCCTGGCCGTGCCTACGCATAGGAGCTGGAGGGGGGATGTGCCGCTGCTTCCGGGAGCTGTTTGAGGTAAGTGCCACCCAGAGCCTGCACCCCTGGCCCCCTCCCATGCCCCAGCCCTGATCCCCCTCCTGCCCTTAGAGCACCTCCCAGCTCGGAGTACCCTTCTGCATCCCAAACCCCTCATCCCCAACCCCACTCCAGAGCTCACACCCCCAGCCGGTGCCCTTGCCATCACCTCTGAACCCCAACCTGCTGCCACAGGCCAGAGCCCCCGCCCGCACCCTGAACTCCTCATTTCTGGCCCCACCTCAGAGCCCGCACCCCCAGGCAGAGCCCTTACCCTCTCCCACAACCCAACCCCAATTTCATGAGCATTCATGGCCCACCATACAATTTCCACACCCAGATGTGGCCCTCTGGCCAAAACGTTTGCCCACCCCAATGTACAGCCTAGCAGAGGAACACAGTCATCTGGAGATCTTTCTTGTCTTCAGCATGTGTGTGTGTGTGTGTGTGTGTGAGGGGGGGCCTGAATCAAACTAAAAAGCCTCCTCTCTCTCTAGCTTATGGCAGGAGAAAGAGCTGGCAGATGTGGGAGGGTAAAGCAGGACTCTGACCCTGCCAGCAGTCCAGCTAGTCAGTACATAATCAAGAGGTGACTCTGGGAGAGGGAGGGCCAGGGGAGAATGTGAGTGATGTGTGTCACTTCTACTTAGTATAACCATAGTCAGGACAAGCAGTGGTCACTGAGACCTGGAGAGCAGAGCAGACAGGAGGATCCCAGATTCCAGCCCAGCCCAGAGCTGTCTACGACGCAGCAGGAGATAGAGAAGGTGAAACTAACTACAGGCCTTGACTCTAATGTTGCTTGAGGGCAAGGGAGCTGCAGCTATGGGGAGAGGAGGCTCCTGTGGATGGGCACTCAGGCACATTTCATGCTTGGGGAGGTGACAGCTCACCTGAAACAGACATTCTCCTCCCCCTTAGAAAGCCCTTAGGTGTTATCGGCAAAGGGGTTAGGGAGGAACAGGGACACTCAGGAGATTGGTAGTGAGGATTTGGAGCTTCTGAGCCCTAGGACGCTGGCTCAGATCTAGCCCAGGTTGGTGGAGCACACCCCTCTTCCCCCAAATGGTGTGCAGTGGCCTGTGTGAAAGGAATTGTTGGGCTCAGCCCAATGCCTAGTGGCCAGGTGTGGCAGAGTGCTGTTAGTGAGGCCTTAATCAGCCCCTGCCATCCCAGCCCCAATCAGGAGGATTGGACTGGGGCTAGGTAGATAGCCTGATGTTTGCCTGGTAACTGACCACATCTGCCAGTCTTGGTAGCAGGAGCTATAAGGCTGGGAGGAAGTGAGAGCAAAGGGAGGGCAGAGACCAGGAGGGGAAGGTCAGGTTCAGATTCAGAGGGAGGTGGGAGTCTCCTACTCTGTTCCTGGCCAGCCCTGTGGTAGGTCAAGCTGTTGTAAAAAGCCTGGAAACTGGTGGTGGGGACTTGATCACAAATAAAGAGCACGGGTGTTGCATCAGCCTGAAGTTTCCCTGAGTCTCTGAAAAGAGGGGGAGAAGCGCTGAACCAGAGGGGCATGGCATGCACCCCGTTACACGTGGGGGCTCGTCCGGGATCCAAGGCCACTGCCAGTGCCTGGCTACACAAGGATGGAGGGAACTGTGCAGTGGCTAGCTAAACAGCAAGAGGAGCTGCAGAAAAACCTGCAGGCCTTCCAGCAGTCCCACCAGGCAGAGTTGTAGACCCTACTTGCCTTGCAGGCCGAACACCAGAACAACTTCATCCGGGAGCAGGCCAGTGTACAGCAGCAGCTCCTGCACCAGTGGGTGAGTCCCCCTGGAGGTGATGGCAGCCGCGCACTAGGGTTGGGGCTCTATAAGATGGGCTCCGCCAATGACCCCGATGCCTTCCTGTGTATGTTTGAGCGGGTGGCTGCAGGCTCTGGATGGGACAAGGCAACCTGGGCCCTAAGACTGATCCCCTATCTGGCCGGTGAGGCACAGGCTGCCTATATGGCCTTAAGTGACAAACAGGCCAAAGATTATGATGCGGTGAAGGCGGCTGTCCTAGACCGGATGGGACTGTCGGTGGATAAGTACAGACAGACGTTTCAGGCGGCCTGATGGACAGCGGGTTTGCGGCTCCGAGCTTTTGCCCAGAAACTCACAGACTGGTCCGGACAAAAAGTATTGAGTACATTAGCTTTTTC